GTTTGGTTGCTCATTCAAGGAGCACCTAAACCAGTTGCGTCCGTTATTTAGCAGGCGGCCAAGTTTAAGCTAAAACTCTCAAAATGCCATCTGTTTCAATCGTACGATAGTTGGGCCACATCGTCAGTGTGATAGGGGTCATTACTGACCCTGCAATGACAGCCAGTGTAAGGCAGTGGCTCGTGCCAATGTTAGTGTTGGCCGTGCATAGATTCCTCGAATTTTTGCCCTATCGGCGATTTATACTCCAGTTTGCCACCGTAGCAAATTCGCTGCATGCGCTTACAAGTAAGAACCAGAGATTTTCAAGGGGGTGCATATGAGGAAGCTGCTTTCCAGCAGCTGTGAATAGGCCCGATTGAGGCACCCCTCAAACTTACCAAGATTACTTGTTACCCTTCATTCTAGACACTGATGCTAGTGATGTTGGATTCGGGACTTTGTTGTCGCAGGCACAAAACGGGAGGGAGATGGTCATAGCGTACGGTATTCACGTTTTCTCTCCCACCAAGCAAAATACTGTGTTACGAGCTGCTCTCATTTGTGCACTTTGTGCACCAGTTCTACCTGTACCTGTATGCCTGGAAATTCATAGTATATAATGAATACACGACTTTACACCACTCTCTTCGAATCTTGCCAGATGGTGAGATGGATTGAGCACCTGCAGGAATACAAATTTGATGTCGTTCGTCATAAGGGAACCAGCAATTCCAGTGCAAATGTTCTCTCTCGACTCGGCTCCCTGGTAGAGTGTACGTGTATGACAGGATTGGCACGCTGTAAGGAGATTGACCCCGCAGGGAGTCAGATTATTGCCTGAGTATCAGCAGGGCTGGAGTGAGACTAGTTTGCCCTTGGGGACTATGGATTGGGATACGCAAAGGCCGATTGGATTCATACATCCTTAAACCCTGTTCGGAACTCCATACAAAGAGCGCTGCATCTCGGTTGTGGGATGTGTTACGCTTTTGAAGTTGGGAGGGCCGTGTTAAAAAATCACGATGATTGGCTGGTTATGTCGACGGACGTTCATCGCTGGGTAGAAGCTTGCGAGGATTGTGCACGACACCAATCAGCCCCCTGCAATCCATCACTGTCTCTGGGGTAAATGAGATAAGATAAGTTGCCCTAGATATCCTGTGTCCCCTTCCCCGTGACTGTTGGTCGGGGCTGAAAACTTGACCCACTGGCCCATGGCGTGGCCTCTTCCAGACCAGATGGCACAATCCATCACGGAGGCCTTTAAAAGTGAATATATGGTGAATAAGGCCCCCCCCCCAAAAAAAACACTTTCTGACCAGGGTTGTAGTTTTTCATCCCAGTTGCTCAAGGAGGTGTGCGCTAATTTGGACACTAAAAGCTGCGCACCTCGTCTTACAACCCGCAGACGGGTTGGGATGGTTCAAACGCTGAAGTACAATATTTCGACCATACTATGCCAAGCAGTCAATGAGAAACAAAGCCATCGGGATGTACACATTCGGGGAGTTCTCACAATGTGTATCGCTCTACTTGATGTACGGCCGGAAGTCCGCACCCCCGATTGAGAAGAATCTGGCCAAGCATCGGCTCGCGCGAGTTCATGGACGGCGTCTTTCCGCCACATGTAAAATTTTCCTGGAGGAAGCGAGGGAGGTCACCAGGCTGCGAGCGAACGGGTTCGAGGCAAAGTGTCGCTACCTGCAATGCAGTGGAAAGTAGACGACTTAGCACGGCTGCTCTGTTCGCAAGTACCGGTCGGCACATCTCCTGTCAAGGTCCTACAGGTTCTGCGGCCGCGATGTGTCCGGATTAAATTGGGAAATCGCCTTTGATGCATTCGACCCTCTCGCTAGCAAACATACGCTCGTGCATCTCACTCATCATCTTTGATATTCTTCCCTTCATCTTCCCAAGTTATTCTTGCACAGTGTGGGCTATCATTTGAAGATAATTTTTGGGGGGATTTGTTGTGCAGTTTTCTTATTGCAAACATGATCCCTTGTATAAAGGTGTTAGTTTTTGTGCCAGCTAAAAGGGTAAAAACCTATTCTTAGCTCTTTCGGTAAAGGTCTCATAATGTAAAGGCTTACCCCGAGCTCTCAATACTCTGATAGTGCGCTGTTTTTGAGGTGTACGCCTTTTAGCGTCATCTGGTCCAATACCAGTGGAGACTAGGCTCTAAGAAAAGCCGTCTCTGGTGTGGACCAATCAATTTCAAGGACAGTGCATATCATTATCAGAGTTGTCTCTTTTTGTTTGCATTTTTGACTGCTTGTGTTGTGGTTATTGCAAACATGATCCCTTGTATAAAGGTGTCAGTTTTTGTGCCAGCTAAAAGGGTAAAAACCTATTACTATATTCAGTTTTTCTCTCTCTTTGTCCACGTTGGGAGTATTAGGAGGGCTAAATTCGATGGGGGGGGGGTGACATTTACGCTTCAGGGTAGTTATTAGGGAAGCATGAACTGGCAACGCTGAAGACGGCTTGGTCTCAAGGTAGGAGGGTCATGTCAAGGTCGTACAGGGGGCACGCTGAGATTTGGTGGGGGGGGGGGGGGGGGTGGGACACGGGGCCATATAGATGAGGGGATGGAAGGGTCACGTGGAGATGCGGGACCATACTCAAGAGAAATAATGAAAGAAGACGGTGCTTACGAAGGTGCGAAAAGGGAGATAGGGGAATGGAGGAAGCTCAAGGGAGGGATATTCGGCGGGAAACAAGAAGTAGGGGCTGAGAGGAACCTGTGTAGGGTTCCGGAAAGTCGGCAGTGAGATGATATATAAGGGGCGTGTGTCAGGAGCTCCGCGGCTCTGGGAGAAGAGAACGCTGGTTGAAGAGAGAGCTTCTTACGAGGAGGCTCGTGAAGGACGCTGCTACTGGGCAGTTGGAGGCAGTCGCCCTCCAGCAACAACGGAGAGCGGAGGAGCGACGCTCACAACAACGAGCGGAGCGCCGGGCGGCTAAAACACAGCAAGTTGGCACAGTAGGGGGCACGGCTGGTACATCTACCGCTGATCTCAGTCAGCCAACCCATGGCACCACCTGGGTCTGTCCCGTGACCTCCTGTTAGCGAGCCTTCGACACTTCACGTGGCCTCAAAGTGCACCTAGCCTGGCACAGGCGCCGTGGTGACTTCGCTTAGTGTGCGAATGGCGGGTGTTGGTATTGGTTACTGGAACAATGAAGTGTCCTTACCAAGACGACTCGTGAGGCTTTCTGTCTGGCGTGAAGAAAACAACCGTCGACAGTGCAACATCGATGCGCCGACATCGGAGGGACCGCAGTCGATCTCAAAACATCGACTCATCGCAACCAAACAATCGATGTCACCGATGTTGTCCGATGTTCAATTAACCCATCCAGAAAAATTCAGAGCAGAGAGAGAGACGGGGTTTGTAACGCATTGCCATGTCAGGGAATCGAACTGAGGTTGCCGAGTTCACATTCTCAGTGAGCCGTTGGCAACATTGCATGAGAGTTCAGCGTATGACCATCTAGACAATTCATCACTAAAGTCTTGATGGGAAATCGGCATGCGTGCAAAAGGTTATTTTTACAGTCGTGGGTAACCTGTGACCTTCTTGCGTGCCCAAGAGAAAAAGTTTGGGGTGAAAAACACGAGGTCCTTACACACACACAGTGGGGCAACTACGACACGGGAAGATTGAGTAAAGAGGCGAGCAAGCCAAGGGGACTGCACAGCAAGCCCACAGGATATTGAGTTATTGACACCACACAACTTATCCGCCGTATATATATTTTTACTATCTCTGTATGAACGTCGCGGTCTGTGAAAGGGACATTGAAGACACGTTTGCTGGCGAACGACCTTTGGACGGCGGCGCGTTTATTATGCAACCGGGGGAACGGAGAGGTGACATTCACCAGGGGGCTTAGTTACAGGTTGATGATTTTCTTGTTTGTTCCGAGACCGGCTGTCTCAACTCTGACCTTGGGCGCTTCATTCACAGAGTGTGAACGCAAGAGGAGGGGAACGTGCTTGGTGTTATTATAATACACAAAGAGTCAACGTAGATTCAGACTTTACCGCGAAAAGTGAACAAAGCTGTATTTAAACAAAAACGCCCGCTTGCTCGCCTATATATGTAGAACAGAGTGCTGTATTTTTTTTAATTATTATTGGGCCATCCGGTGCTCTGCATCTTGTCGGTTGCAAAAGGTGAGTCAAGGAAATGGCGCGAACGGGTTTATTGTCGTTGTTGTTATTATGTTGTGTTGCGCTGTTGTGTCAACTTTAGTGTGAGGTGTTTTGTTTGTGGTGGCGATGTGCCGCAGGTGATGATCTCTACAGCTGTACAGTGCGTGCTTTTTTAAAAAAACCAAACAGATAAACGTATCACGAAGTTTAGATGGGCGCCAATGAAAAAGGTTGGTCCAGATGTCTTGTGACCCCCAATTAATTGACCCCTAACATCCCCCCACCACCACCTTTGCATATTTACTTCTGTTTTAAGTAAACCTTTAAAAGGTAAAGTTTTAGATAATTCAATGTGGGGCGGCGGGGGGGTGGGTCACACGACATTTGGACCACACTGTACAGTATAAACACGTAATGTTGAACTTCTTTCGCACCGTACGTAACCAACCGTGCCCAATCGGAGGTGCGGTAAAGAGTTGTGCCCTTTTATTTAAAAAAAAAACAGAAAAGGCAAATGTGTGTGAAGTAAGATGCAGCAGCAGCAGCAGCAGGAATGTACGCCACCATGCAGCGAGCAGAACTCAAAGGTTCGACCCATAACTGGGCGAACTGCCTTTTATTTACACAGCAGCAGTAGCAGCAGACTCACGTTTCAAACACATGACCCTACTCGTCTTCACTCTCGAGTTGCTTCGAATAATCGGACAAGAAAAAAGGTGTCTGTCAAGAGCGACGACTGCAATGACAGCAGCCGGCTTCTGTGTTCGCAGTGTGATGCTACAGAACCCATCTGTGTGGACCTCGCTGTGCCACTCACCAACACTGCCCCTCTCTGTGCGCGCGCACACACACACACAGAGAGAGACGAGAAGAAGAGGTCTTGGTGAGGGAGGCGACGATGGCAGCCAACAACACCACCAGCATAGCGCAGGCACGGAAAGCGGTGGAACAGCTGAAGCTGGAGGCGAACATGGACAGAATTAAGGTGCGTGACCCCCCACGCAGATTCCGGCAACGACACCAAAGAACGCGGCGATTTCGGGCGACTGGCTGCGGGAGCTGGTGGCGGGGATCACGGGGGCCACGTCGCCGGTGGAAGGGCAGGTGAACGGGCGGCGCACCCGGATTCTGCTGAACACGGGGGCGGTGGCCTCGGGAAATATTCCGCTTGCAAGCTTTTCAGTGGCCACACTTGCTCGATTGAGTGCCATTGCGCCGGGGGTTTTTGTTGTTACCAGTCCACGAAATACGCCGGACGACTTTAAAGGTGCGGCAAAGCCGTCAGATATCTCGCTCGCGTTATTGTTGGCGAGAAGGGGCTCACAGCTCTAGAGAGGCCCCCTCTAGAGAGGAGTTGGCCTACTTTTTTCGCGCTGGCCAGATCTCTCGAAAGAGGTGGAAGTTACCACCACACCTAGCCCTACCACACGCGACCTGCTTGATCAACTAACTGTGGCGTGCGTGCCACTTGTATGAATGAACACAACTCATCATTAATTGGCTGGAAACATCCTAAGATAAAAGCCCCAATGTAGCAGGACCATCCTGAGAAAAAGAGTCCTATGACTCAGTGTGGCTATCCTGGATCAAACAAGTTGGAGTTCATTGTTTATAACGTGCGTATCACACTCCAAATACCAGTCGGAGCTTTCATGAACGATGGCACGGGTGCCTTCATAATGCAGGCGAAAAAACGTGGAGCAGCTGAAGATAGTTTTGCCGAAAAACATTCGGGATGTTATTTCACCAATACAGTTTGTTTATTTCAGTAATGTAGTAAAGTAATTTCTCAGCTCAGGAAAATGTGTGCACAGTGCATACCAATTATAATTACAGCAATTAAGTCATACATTTTTTTCAGCTTAAAATATCTTCTCAAATCCGCTAATTAACAGCGGATTGTATTTTTCTTGGTTTAAAAATGTATCTATATATATTTTAAGTACGACTACTGAGCGCAGGTCTAAATGCCCAAAATGCCAAACAGCACTATTAATGTTGCAACAGAATAGTTCACACATTGTATTAAGCAAGGTTTAAAGACCTTTGGAAAAACAGATATGGTGCAGGTGGAAACAATCCTTAGTCTGGCAGTGCCAGGGAAGAAACAGAAAGAAATGTGTTATGACCTGCAATGTGGTGTTTGAGCACAGTATGGATTAGATTAATCAGTCAGTCTGGTAGACCGAGTTCTTGACATGGGTAAAGGAATGAATGAGGAAATTTCACCAGTACAGTGACCATGGTAGGAGTGATAGAAGAGTGTTATGGAGTATAAATACATGTTAATTTTGGTTCATGTTTTTTTCTGACTTTATGTGAACGAAAAGACACATTCGCCGGTTTTCTCATTGAAAATAGGTACATTTCAAAATATTACTGTCCTGGTCACAAAAGCAAAGTTTGTGGGGTATAATAGCTATTTTCTGTACTTTTGAGGCATAAGCAATTAGTAAATAACACTTACTACCCAGGAACACATTTTTTGTTACAGTGTTATCAATCGGCCTGGCTTCCAGGAATATAGCCATTTAATTACAGATCAAATAAGATTACCATGGCCAAGAATATTGAGGAACTGTGGCAAACATCTGTATTTGTCAAGAAGCTGCATGAATTGTTTATGCAGCGCTCTGGTTTTCGAAAACTTTTGTGAAAAAGATGAAAGAAAATTCGACCAATCTCATCTTCGGCTCTTAATTTAAATAATGTATCGTATGGCAAAATAAATAAGCAGACAGTACATCTCTTTTGATTTAAAGCTTTCATGACTGCAGGGATTCATATTCTTGGTTCTTTCGGTAAAGACACGTAGAAGGGAAACAATAAAATACATTTAGAAAAAGTAATTTTTATTATTATTTAATTGTTTCCCTTCTACGTGACTTTACCGAAAGATTACAATATGAGACCTTTGCCAGTAGCAAGATATAGTAATAGGTTTTTACCCTTTTATCTGGCACCAAAACTGACACCTTTATACAAGGGATCATGTATGCAATAACCACAACACAAGCAGTCAAAATGCAAACAAAAAGACAACTCTGATAATGATATGCACTGTCCTTGAAATTGAGTTGTACGCCTTTTGGCGTCATCTGGTCCAACACCAGTGGAGACTGGGCTCTAAGAAAAGCCGTCTCGGGTGTGGACCAATACATTTCAAGGACAGTGCATATCATTAGCAGAGTTGTCTCTTTTTGTTTGCATTTTTACTGTTTGTGTTGTGGTTATTGCAAACATGATCCCTTGTATAAAGGTGTCAGTTTTGGTGCCAGATAAAAGGGTAAAAACCTATTACCATACTTTACCGAAAGAACCAAGAATATATAGTACATCTCTTGTCACATATCTGTCTCTCCACATAAAAAGTTAATGTATTTCTTATGCAACCCCTCAGCCGCACGGCCATTTGAGAGTGCATCATTTCAGCAGAATTGTTTAAGAAAAGCAAATTCTGGACCAGTTTCGGCATTCAGTGTCTCACTGAATGCTGAAACTGGTGAACTGGCGATCTTAGAGACAAGGACAGTGTCTGTATCTTATGGGGGTCCTAGTTTGAGGGGAAATTTTAAATAGTAAATAATTGCTCTTGATTTATGAGTGTATAACCGCTTTAAAGTAAGCATGTTTAATATTCTCATACTTTGTCAAAATACAATGTTAATTATTACTGGATGATTTTGATAAGTTAAACGTCTTAAAAAGTAACACGACTTGATGTTACCATTATTGTTGCTTAAGTTTGATGCATTTAGGGCTCAACAAGCTCGTGAAGTATTGCCACTCTTGCTCAGTTGGCCACAATTGATGCAACCAGTCGGTATACTGTGGGCTCCTATTGCCGGAAGCTTTCATTTCCCAAAAAATGTTGATGCTTTTGTACCAACAACTTAGGTTGTAGGAGTTAAGACTCATCAGCTAATTTCTGAGAGGAAAAAAGGTGCAACTAAGAAACGTTCAGGAGATTCGCGGGAGAGTACATATGTAACACATTTTTTTACATTTCTAAACACGAGGATCATGTATGTAAAAGCTTGAAAACTCTTCATTGGTTTTGCGGCTATTGATAGTCACCACCACCATATATATTTATCAGTACTGTACCTAATGTGGTAATTAGATGATGAAGAGCCAAAGGGATTTTGGGAAAGTGCATGGATGAAAGGGCCTCCAGAATAACCATATTTCATAACTTGAAAATGTTCACTCCTTGTAATTTGATGAACTGTGCACAATTCAGGAATCTTGTATTTTTTTAGGCGATGCATTGCAGTGCACACACAATTTGACGTGCATTTTGTGGGTGTAAGAATCGACTAACCCTCTTTGCAATATTGCAGTGAATGGATGTTGCTTTTCTATGCCCACATGCTCCGTGATGCACCGCTGTAACTAACCCTTTTGTCCTTGCAGGTATCAAAAGCAGCAGCGGATCTGATGGCTTACTGCGAAATCCACGCCAAGGACGATCCTCTACTGTGCCCTGTCCCTGCCTCAGAAAACCCCTTTCGAGAAAAAAAACTATTTTGTGTCATCTTGTAGAGAGTGAGTGCCAAACAATAAGAAACAAAAAAATAACCTACACAGTAGAGATTAAAAAAGTTAACGAAAAAAATTGGAAGCCCCCAGCTACATTTTACAATACAGCAACGCTGGTGCAGAGATCATCAAGAATGGTGGAAAAATGAAGGCAGAAAAAGAGCAAAGCACGAGTCGAATGAGGGGGGGAGGCTGCCTTACTGGGCAGAGCCACCCAGCTGGCCACAGCCGACGTCCGGTGGCTGAAACGAAAAAGCTTGACGAGCGGTCGTGATCACAGACATGTTTTAGGTATTGCTTGTGTAAAAACAAAAATATGCCCCCCCCCCCCCCTATCTGAAGTCTTTCCTTTTTTATGATTTGTATGCCTTTGCAGGTGCTCACGAAGAGCTCCTTTCGCCTAGCTAATGCGTAAAACTTGATAACGGTGCAATGGTAAAAGGTTGTTTTCCATGACTGAATGGACAATATTTTTAGGATAGGTGACTGTTATGTCAATTGCGCTATAGCAGTTTTATAATTACAGTAATTGAAATGTTGCCATTAACTATATATTATCTTATTTGACAAGGTGGCAATGTAAATACTTTTCACAATTTTTATTATTTAAAATGTGCATGCATCTAAACACTGAACACTGAATGGGTAGACTTGCAATTTTCCTTGCAGAATGATTTAGAAACGCAAGTGAATTTCTTCGTAACAATATTTGGGTCTGCACCTCACTTTTGTCTTCTACCGTATGCCTGTTAAGCCTGGTCAATTTTGCTTTGAATTTAAATAAACTTTTGGTACTTACATTTTGATTTAAAGCTCTCGTGACTGCAGGGATTCATATTCTTGGTTCTTTCGGTAAAGTCACATAGAAGGGAAACAATAAAATAATAATTGTTTTATATTTTTATAATTTTATTGTTTCCCTTCTACGTGGCTTTACCGAAAGAACCAAGAATATTTTGGTACTTAAAATTATCCAAGATGCAGCTTTTATGCATCGTATAATATTCCACCAATTTACACTGCAGTTGTCCATAAACGTTGTTACAGGCGTTATGGTTTGAATTACATTTGTGACTTTGCAATTTATTGCCCAAAATAAAATGTCCATCATGGTATATCCTGAAAAAAGCCTGTGATACTTCCATTGTCAATGTTGCCTCTAATTGGATGATCAGTGATAGCAAGATAAACACTTATTTTATACACAGCATCGTGGCGCGTGATTGAACCCCCTTTTCCTGTTCAATGAAGTGCAGGTGACTACATGACCTAAATATCACATATGCAATTGAAATATAGTAATCAACAAATGCACATCCCTTTGTAAATCTGCTGCTGGATATGAATCATAATTTGCCATTCTGGTCAGTGCGGGGTCGGTGGTGTGGACCATTGATATATTACCTACTGCCTACAACCCACAGACAATAATGCCTGTTATATGCATGGTGATCGCCTAGCTTCAGAGATGCGACAAAGTCGGGTGAATTCCAGGTGATTTAGTAAATGCCATCAAACCATATAAAATGGAAATATTCTAGAGCTAAAAAAAAACTCATTGTGCATTGATAGCCACTTTTCTTGCCACTTGATGGTGGACGTAAATTTACTTTTAGTTTGTTTTGCACAACATGTATATGTATCTGCTCTGCTTGATATTGTACCCAAAATGAGGATGTGTTGTATATTTAATTGTACAACTTTTAGTCATTGAACGTTTACTACATCTTATTAACTTGTGTATATATAATAAAGTGTAATCAGAAATCTATTTCTCGTGGACTTTTTTCACATAAATTGTTACGTTATCAAAGCGATACCTACAGTGAGGGAAAAAAGTATTTGATCCCCTGCTGATTTTGTAAGTTTGCCCACTGACAAAGAAATGATCAGTCTATAATTTTAATGGTAGGTTTATTTGAACAGTGAGAGACAGAATAACAACAAAAAAATCCAGAAAAACGCATGTCAAAAATGTTATAAATTTATTTGCATTTTAATGAGGGAAATAAGTATTTGACCCCCTCTCAAAGATTTCTGGCTCCCAGGTGTCTTTTATACAGGTAACGAGCTGAGATTAGGAGCACACTCTTAAAGGGAGTGCTCCTAATCTCAGCTTGTTACCTGTATAAAAGACACCTGTCCACAAGCAATCAATCATCAGATTCCAAACTCTCCACCATGGCCAAGACCAAAGAGCTCTCCAAGGATGTCAGGGACAAGATTGTAGACCTACACAAGGCTGGAATGGGCTACAAGACCATTGCCAAGCAGCTTGGTGAGAAGGTGACAACAGTTGGTGTGATTATTCGCAAATGGAAGAAACACAAAAGAACTGTAAATCTCCCTCGGCCTGGGGCTCCATGCAAGATCTCACCTCGTGGAGTTGCAATGATCATGAGAACGGTGAGGAATCAGCCCAGAACTACATGGGAGGATCTTGTCAATGATCTCAAGGTAGCTTGGACCATAGTCACCAATAAAACAATTGGTAACACTACGCCGTGAAGGACTGAAATCCTGCAGTGCCCGAAAGGTCCCCCTGCTCAAGAAAGCACATACATGCCCGTCTGAAGTTTGCCAATGAACATCTGAATAATTCAGAGGACAACTGGGTGAAAGTGTTGTGGTCAGATGAGACCAAAATGGAGCTCTTTGGCATCAACTCAACTCGCCGTGTTTGGAGGAGGAATGCTGCCTATGACCCCAAGAACACCATCCCCACCGTCAAACATGGAGGTGGAAACATGCTTTGGGGGTGTTTTTCTGCTAAGGGGACAGGACAACTTCACCACATCAAAGGGAGGATGGACAGGGCCATGTACCGTCAAACCTTGGGTGAGAACCTCCTTCCCTCAGCCAGGGCATTGAAAATGGGTCGTGGATGGGTATTCCAGCATGACAATGACCCAAAACACATGGCCAAGGCAACAAAGGAGTGGCTCAAGAAGAAGCACATTAAGGTCCTGGAGTGGTCTAGCAAGTCTGCAGACCTTAATCCCATAGAAAATCTGTGGAGCTGAAGGTTCGAGTTGCCAAACGTCAGCCTCGAAACCTTAATGACTTGGAGAAGATCTGCAAAGAGGAGTGGGACAAAATCCCTCCTGAGATGTGTGCAAACCTGGTGGCCAACTACAAGAAACGTCTGAACTCTGTGATTGCCAACAAGGGTGTTGCCACCAAGTACTAAGTCATGTTTTGCTTGGCAATGGTCTTGTAGCCCATTCCAGCTTTGTGTAGGTCTACAATCTTATCCCTGACATCCTTGGAGAGCTCTCTGGTCTTGGCCATGGTGGAGAGTTTGGAATCTGATTGATTGCTTCTGTGGACAGGTGTCTTTTATACAGTTAACAAGCTATTAGGAGCACTCCCTTTAAGAGTGTGCTCCTAATCTTAGCTCGTTACCTGTATAAAAGACACATGGGAGCCAGAAATCTTTCTGATTGAGAAGGGGTCAAATACTTATTTCCCTCATTAAAATGCAAATCAATTTATAACATTTTTGAAATGTGTTTTTCTGGATTTTTGTTTTTATTCTGTCTCTCACTGTTCAAATAAACCTAACATTAAAATTATAGACTTATCATTTCTTTGTCAGTGGGCAAACGTACAACATCAGCAGGGGATCAAATACTTTTTTTCCTCACTGTACCACCAGTGCCAATCGCAATGCACTGAAATGGAACCGTTTGCACGAGGGGTCAAATAACCGCATGACAAAGATCAAACGTCACGAATTGTAAATGTCACGAATTGTAAATGTTGTGGATTTACTCTCCAACACACCGGTTAGTGATGAACTAGCAACGAATTGGATTGTATTTGTTTCCATGACGAACCTCACGAATTGGCTGTGTCGGGTGGTGGCGGGTTTTATGACATTCATATGTACGCGATCTAACCCAAAAAAAACCCGTCATTATGGATTATTTTTTTGTAATCCTTAGCACAGGTCCAAAACGCCAACTGGCCAGCAACAAACAGTACGGTACTGTACTATTAAAGTTGAAATAGATAAATAGTTAATAACATGTCTTGATTTGAGCAACGTTTTAAAGACCTTGGGGGAAAAAAAAACTTGACGATCGGAGATTCCCAAATCGAGCAGTGCGCGGGAAGACCCAGAAGTGTTTTTTCCTGCTTTTTGTGTTTGATTAGCCCCCTCCCGCCCCGTAACTCGGATTATCACGGTTAGCTAATACGTACGGTGCAAAAGAAGTTCGACATGTCCGGCAGCACCGGTGGTTGAACGTGTGGGAAAAGCAGAGCACAGCGAACCGAGACCATTTTATGACAGTAGTATACTTTTAATCTACACTTTTACACAACGGCATTGAATTTCCCATAGAAAAAAAGACATACAGCAAATCGTCCTATAGTTTGGTAGAAAAATGTCGTTAAAAGTTTGCATCTCATTAAACGTGTGGTCGGAACGCAGACTTTATTTTACACCCACCGCCTGCATCCACTCGCAGAAAAAAAATACACGTCCCGAATTTACAGCAGCAAATTTTTACGGTCTTACAGCAGCCTGCGTTTTGTTGCATTCCACAGTAAACATTGAAGCAACATACAAAAATACATTACATTTAATTTTTGGTAACACTTGGCTCCTGCTCATTAAAAAAATGGAACCAATAAACTGAAAACAATAAAATGGGACATTTTAGTGTAATAGAAACGGCAAAAAAGTCATTAAAATAAATCGTCAAACGTGACGTGAACTGTTCACATCATGCACCGAATTGCACGCTTCCACCCCCCCCCCCCCTCCGTGACACTGTTGATTTTGCAAAAAAAAGAACAAGCTCTTTTACCTGCAACATTTACAAAGTCTGCAGCATGCTTTACAAATAACACAGTGGTTCATCAAAGTGGTATTTTTAAGCTTCACATGTATACAATAGCCACCACAGAGGAACTCTTGTGTGCTGGAACAGAAATAAACGACCAATTCGTCTGCCCGTAAAACAAGTCCGCAGTCCTTGACGAAAAACAGCACGAGTGTATCGTCTTAATGCGGCAGTGCTCGCAAGAGACAGTCCCACGGCATGTTGGTAATGCCGGTCTGTCGTCTGCGCTAGTGTATTATTATTATTATCCTCGCTCCGTTTAGCCCAAGCATCATTTCTACAATCATTCATTTAATCCTTTTTAAAACAACGATGCAGCATCGCCAGTGACAACTTTCACGTTGATGACGACGGCGACGATAATAAACGGGGGCAGCTTCCCCTCTCGCCAATCGTACACACACCAACATAAACACGCGCAGATTACGATTTTGCTACATGCACTGCATAGTATGAAGGTAAATTATAAAGTAGACGGAGGTCTTTGTTACAGACGACAGTCATATGAGTACACATGCGTTGTGTTTTTATGCTGAGTCTTCATTGCTGCCGCTGGCTTTTTGAGTCTTCCAGCAAAAGCCATTGCCGAGTTCCACGACTCTTTCAGGAGGGCCCTGCCAACTCCGAGTGTCTTGTACGGATAAAAATGTACAAAGCTTTTCATTTAACCCGACGACATTTGAATTCAAAATTTTCAGCCTTCTACCCGACAAATTAATGTGAGCAATGAATCAATAAAACAAAGCACGAAACGTTGACCGAGATACAGTACTGCAGTAGTTTCGTTATTCAGCAACTAGCACTGCCTTTAGTGAAATCAGGGGGAACATTTCTGAGGATGTACTTTTCTTTAAATTATAATTAGAGCAAAGGTTTTAAATGTATTCATGAGCTCAAAACAGATGAATCCTTGTTTCTGTTTAAAATTACGTGGGAGGTCTGTGGAAGTGAAGTTGATAACATTTAGCGTTGAAGGTAAACGATTACATACCAAAATATGTTAATACTACGTGTACATATCACATTTTGTCATGATGTGTCTATGAAGTGAAACCAATGGGTTAGGGCCCAAGAAGAAAAAGTCGATTAACGAATGTAGTTTTGTTGTTGTGTTCCTCAGATATGCAAGTGCTAGGCGTAAACGAGTTATGATATTGCAGCGTGCCAGGCAGTATAAAACGTACAAAAGGAACGTGGCAAACACAGCATTCCGTTCAAAGCAAACTCTTCAGTGGTAAGGGGACTTCAGTCGGCCATTTGCATGTTGGATATAACGCAACAAAGAGAATACGTGAATTCTAGGCATACCATATGTAGCCAGTCAGAGTTGAAGCTAATAATAATCCAGCAACGTTGTTCTTTGAACATAGACTTTGTGACTGTCCAAAACGGTGATACGTCGTTACTCTTTGACCTCCTCTACATTTGGTGTGTCACGTGTTGGCAGCAAAAGGCAGTAAACATTTTCGTTTGGAAGTGCTTTTATCTCTCCAAGCTCAAAGACTTCATATATTTTCACATGCGCACCCTTTTAGCAAAGCACGTTTGCATTTCAAATCTGGGTGGAGTTGGTTACAGTCAAGGACATGTTGAGGGTAAGCGTCCACACTCGAATTGATTGTTTATAAGTTACATTAAACATCAAAACGTGTTTTTTTCAAAATGGATGAATGCTCGTAACGCCATGTGACATCATCGGCTGTGGAATATAAAAATAACGCATAAAGACCAGCCCAGGCTTGCCCTGCTTGAGCAGTGTATGTCATCACAAGAATAAGTCGGAGGCCATGCTCTCGCGATGTTGTCGAAATTAATTGCCCCAGATGGTATCGACAGGGTACACTTCTCTCCCCTCGCAGTAATTCCAAACCACAACGCCTATGTGGTTCTAATTTCACATTCAACTTGCATGGAGCAC